ATGCCGAGACGCTTACTCAAATTACACGTGTGTGTATGCGCCCAAATATACAAACACACTTACAGGCAGCAACAGAGCAGTGTTTGAGAGCGAAAATGGGAGGAAACAGACAAATTATCAGTCTCTCCTGGAATGCCTTGATGGAGAAGAGAGGCAGCCAAATGCTATGACTGGAGACTGTTAAGACGAGAACCACCCATGATCTCTCTCTCTCTTTTTCTCTCTCTCCCTTCTCCTTTGCTGCCTGGTGCAAAGCAGAGGCCTTGGTTTTTCTGAATGAAATCAGTGTGTGCTGGAACAAAGTACAATTTTGAAGCGGTGGCAAATCTTTATCCTAGAAGTATTGGAGTCCAAGGGACTGTAAAGAATCTTAAAAAAAAAAAAAAGAAAAAGTAATCTGAGATTCATAGGTGAAAAATGTACTCATCCTATAGAACATTGTTTCCCAAAGACTGGGTCGCAACCCTCAGGTGGGTCGCAAGAGAAAACAACAATATAAGGACATGGCTACCTTCACTGTAGGCTTTGGTTGCAGAGTGAGGGCAGGTCGAAGTGTCTCCTGGTTAGCCATGAGACGGATTACCAACATGTAGGCCAAACCATGATACTGTACATCAAGAGAATAATGCATCAGAATTGACTCAATTAAGCCAACAGACAAAGAGATTTTTGGAAGCCATTCTAAACAGGTAAATATTAGCTGTCAGATAGCTAAGATGCATCTGAGTCTAAGAGTTACAAATTCCCCAACACGTGTCCTATATATATATATATATATATATATATTTTTTTTTTTTTACATTGCTGCAAACAGTAAAATATTTAAAAATTAGTTCAGACCCACAAGAGCCAAAACACACAATAGTTTACATCTAGAAAAACAAGAATAGGAGAAGAGCAGGGGTTTCGGATGAATCACTATCAGCAATGTATCTTCATTTCAACACCTGGTAATGATAATGGTCCACGGGGGAATGTGTGTGCGTGTGTGTGGCCATTAAAAAACATATGTAAAGAAGACACAAGACGCTGCAGTTTCTCTTCTACATCTGTTTCCACTTTAGTTTACACACTTATAAAACATATTCTGAGGTAAACTGTAAAATGAATGTTGTTTTTATTTCTCTGTCATATCAATTCATGGCAAGAATTTTAAAATAAAAAAATATTTGTTATGTTATGTTTATTATTTCAATTCAGTGGAAAAAGACAACCAAAGTACTTCGTGTATATATATATATATTAAATTGGATCAATGCAGGGAACTTTGATTCCATAGTGTAGCGGTTAGCACGCCTGCCTTGGAAGCAAAGAGCAAAGAGTCCTGAGTTCGATTCCCAGACAAACCACATACTAGATTGTAATTGTTAATACACTTTGGCGAACTTCCAGCGGGAGATGGACACACTTAACAGGTATTTATTAAATGTTGAGATAATAATTATAATAATAATACACATAAGACATTTTTCATAATTCATTGTTTTAGAGATTGTTTGTTCAGTATCCATTTCCATCCTTAAATTGACGGGTTCTCCTCACTGTACATGTGATCAGGGAAAAAAGTGTCATCTAATCTGACAACTCAGTATTTGCAGCACAGAACAGCAAACATGATCAAATTCTAGATAAGAACAAAGTCAAATTTGTGATGTCAAAATGGGCTCAGAGGCCACAAAAAGTTGGGAATCACTGGATTAAGGCCCAGATGGAATCAAACCCGAGACCTTTTCCATGGCTCATGAAAATTCGACCACTGTGCAAATTCAGCCGTTCAACAGCTCTTGGTGGGAACGTAACCGTGCTGCATTTGTGCGCTGTTCTCACGGGAACACACACGCACACACACACACACACACCAAGTTGGTTTTGCAAGCTTTCCTGAAACGTCATTGTTAAATCGTGTAATAAGGGCGACCATTAAAGTTATGTTCAGCAAGGTAAGGTCCTGTTAAACAAGCGTCCTTTTCACTGTTGCATATGTTTGTGATTAGAGCCGAGCGGGGAAACACAATAGCCCTCTTCAGCCTGCTTCTTGATCCTGTCCACTTGAATTCCATTTGACACTTTGCCACAATCCCCGGCCACAAACAGCGACAAAGAAACACGAAACCTGTAAACAGTACGTGTTTCTGCTTCACTACAATTTTCTGTGTTGGAGAAGACCAAATCTGCTGAATTCACACAAAAAAAGTAATCTGATTACAACTCCTTCACCTAATGGGTGGAGAGTGAAAGAGAGAAAGTGAGGGTTAAGGTGTGTCGAACAGGAAGCCAATCAAAGTTCACTTGCAGGGATTTTGTCAGACATTTTATTGTTTCTCAAATGTTCTAATTAGACCTTTGTTCTGCTGATTAAAATGGCCTCTCAAATTCCACTTTATCAACACACACATGCTATTTAAAATAAAGTGTTATAATTGGTTAAAAAAAGAAGGTATCTAGTGTCAATCAAAGGATCATGTTTTCCTTACTATTTTCTTATCATTTTAAAAAATATTTATGAACTAATAATAAAAAACAGAAACTAGCAGTTATGTGAAGCATGTGTGTTTACTGTGCTGATAGTTTTCCTACAATTACAGTAAACTGCTTTAAAAAACTCATGCTTCTGTAAAACTCTTCTGTACAAGTACGCTCTGGAAATACTTGGTTACTAATACTGGGTCATTAATACTTGGAAATATGTTTTTGAAGTCTAAATATGTGATCCTTAACTGTACAGAGAGGGAATCATCAGTGCCGTTCACCCCTGAAGCAGCAAAATAAGCAAAACGAAATAACCTAATAGCAAATGTATTACTCCAAAAAAAAGTATTTTCAAAAATGTCTGGTGGATTACTAATGAGATGGTAGTTTAAAAAACCCTTTTCTGATAGATTTCCTTAATCCGTACACTGTCTACGATGTATATGTATGTACACTATAGGCGGGGGGGCAAAGATCACCTGAGGCTGTGAGCTTTATTCACTCTCAACAAAAAATTGAAAAAAATATTTTCCTCCAACAATCCTATACCGTGATAGTAGTTTTTTTGTGAATGTCTATTTCCTAATTATCGTTCATTTCCTATAAAACAAAGCTCTCTGGCATCATCATAAATCACTGGGAATATCAGTGGCCATAAATCATACGTGGAGATTTAGATCAGCTGTTTGTCTCATCCGCTGCCTGTATCTCTGTTGGACTAATGTGTGGAAAAGTTTGATAATTAAAACCAGCCGCTCACTCTCTCTCTGGGGAATAAAGTTCTGCTCACTTCCACCTTCAGCTGCTCAGAGAGCAGCAGTAGCGCACGCGTACTGTTTGAAAAACCAGTGGAGACCAGAGAGAGATTTCAGGTTCAACAACAGCCAGCACCTGTTTCTTAGGTTTTCTCTCTGTCCGTGCCGTTATTGTGTTACCGACATCTGACAAACACCTAAAGGCAATTGGTTCGGATGAGGAACGAGCGCTCAGTGCTTCTCAGAAAAACACGTTTGACCTTAGAGGCCAAAGGGATAAATCAGGGCTGCTAAGGCTAAAACAAATGTTAGAGGGTTGAATCTGAGAAATATGTGACGCCACAACCACAGTCCACTAAATAGAATGACTCAATTAAGAATCAATTTAGAAAGATGGAAATATAAAAGTAAAAAATAATGAAAAAAATATATATACAGTATATATACACATAGTGGTGCTTTGGCCCAGAGGCAATGTCTCTGTCGTTGGTGTGGAACCCCAGGGTTCACTTCCTAGGCAAGACCGCTGCTCCCCCGTCCCAGTAACGGGTAAGATACAGATATATTATTTCTGTGCAGGATGACAAATGAAGACTTGATATTTGCAGTGAAAGTCTACAAATGTGTGGCGCCATCTTCACGGATCTCATTAGATGTGTTGTTAGAAGCTGTAGTTCTTGTCATTTTTGTGGCAGTTCTGCCACCATTCTGTTCTTTTCTTTTTTAAGAGGTTGTGTGGGACATTTGCTCTCTGTAAACTATATCCGGCTGCACCTGCAAAAGGGCAACCGCAGGAATTCCTTTTTCCTCCATTTTCGGACTACAGCAAACACAACACAATGATATCAGATCTTAGCAGATGCAAAATGGCATTTTTTTAATTTTATTTATAGATAGGAAACACTTGTTTTGTCATCTGGATTCTTCACTAACATTGGGACACATGTAGCTCTGAGCACGAGCACACATGTGTCGTGGATATGGATACTGACTGACGTCAGAATTTAAAAGGCAGTTCGCTCTTTGAACGTGTATCTTATCTGCAGCTGCCATTTGCTGCTCAATTTGGTGGCGTCAGGTCAGAGGGAATGAGGTTTTTTTCCCACATGTAAAAAGAATGAGCTGATTGTTGCCCGGCACGTAAATCATGGGTCCCATAAATCAATCTTTACACTAACAATGTTTTTATTGTTATCATTCACAGACACACGTGGGTTTACAGAGAGGCCACGATTAAATCAACCTGACTGACTGAGTCTGACTTCCCCGACATCACAGTCTGCTTAAGGTTCATGATTACATCCAATAGAAAGCTCTCCAGTCGTGGTTGTCGCTTCAGGTTTGAGGTGAAGAGGTGTGTGTGTGTGTGTGTGTGTGTGATGTAATAGCACTGGCATGTCTCAGCTTTGATTAAAGGAAATGCTTACATCACACCGTCTCCAGGAGAACCAGGCCCTTAGCTCAGAGCAGATGGATTTGTCCAATAGCAGTGCAGCATTGCAAGGGGCAGTCAGACAGGTGTGCTGGGCCCAGAGTGCACGACGCACACGTATGTATTTAAATGCTATTTAAAACACAACTCACGGCAGCAAATGCAGCACTCCAGACATGGGATCAGGTACAGGTCTTTATTAAGTCCAAACTCAGGGACAAACAGGAACACAACAGTAACAGATGTAGAGACTGTGGCCAGGCTGGGGAAACTGAAAGACACTCACTTTGGCCAGGCTAACAGAACAGT